GTACATAAATTCATAAAATTTAAGGCTAACGTTGTTATATTTACCACACTGTTGATTGGCTAAAATAAAGTCCCTTTAAACCTTAAGTGCTACTTAATGATCTTCATTTTTATTGAGACATCAACGAGTAAAGTCAAGTCAAGGACAAGGGTGGAGGAGTTTTCTGGTAGATAAATTGCTAAGGAAGATAGTAAGTAAGATTCCTCACTTAAAGACTGAGCAATAAAAGCTTAAGTAAGAGAATAGAGTGATAAGATTTGGGTTCTCATCTGGGTAGTAAAAGAATTTCAATTATTTTTATAACATGTTCTAGTACTGCCTTGTCTTACAATATTGATTTTGTTATAATTGCTTTTATTAATCAGTCAGTTGTAATATTATTTTTTGCTTTCTAGAGGAAATTTCTGCCTTGGGCAGCGCTTAGTCACCTGAGCCAGGCAGCGCCTTGTGAGGCTAAGGCAATCCGGTTGCAAGCTGATGATTGCTTAGAATATTTTGATATTACAAAAAAGGGAGGTCATAACATAAGTTAGCATGGATATTCTGATTTTCCAGAGCTCTTCCGTCTCTATCCAGAATATGTCAGTCGATAGAGGTTGCATAGCTTGTGTCAACTTGGAGCTCTAGTAACAAACTGATAGCCACCAGTTACACCGTGGCTGAGAGCCATTGCCCCAGAGAGAGAGAGAAAGCCATTGCCCAAGCCCCAGCCATTGAAAATGGCCCCCTATTTCCCAGAATGCCCACTTAGTTCTGCCCTTGAGTCCTTGCAGTTTTCTCCTTGGTATTGCTGGGAGTTGTAGTTTCCAATCACTGGAGTAGGGGGTGGAGTCCAGAAAGCTGGAGTAGGAGGTGGGGTCCACAAAACTGCAGATTTCCTTTAGGACATCCTTCCCCTTAACAATGGTGGGTTCACGAATTCACTCAGGGCTCACTGATCGGGGCTCAGATCTTGTCATAGTGTATGAGATGCTGGGACAGCAGCAAGCAAGCAGGTTGGCCAGGTAGGCTGCTGTCAAGAAGCTTTCGGGCTAGAGGAAGCCAGGCACTTAGGGAAGTCACAATTACCAGGCCAGTGTAAGGAGAAGCACGGAGCATCAAGAAAGCAGATCGGGGTTACCGGCCCTGGGTCAGAGCCGGGGACATTTTCCTTCAGGTGAGGCCAGGCTGTGGCAGAGGCGAAAGAGAGGAAGCTTCGCCAGGGTCTTTGATTCCTGGCTTCTGTGCTGTACAATTTTGTTTACAATTTTGGAGTTATAATCTTATTCCTCCACATGTTCACTCACCTTCTACCAGAACATCCATGCCCAAGTCCTATCTTATCCCCTTCCCCCTCCTCTCTCACTCCCTCCCTCCCTTCCCACCAGTAAGCAGTAAACTCACTCAGTCTAAGATTTGTTTTTGCCGTCTTTTACCAGTATATTCAGGTTATTTCTATTCCATGGTTAAGTGAAACCATCCGATGTCTGTCTCTCACTTTCTGACTTATTTCACCAAGGAGGCCACGGTGGTTCTGGCTCTATGGTCAGGTGTCTTGACCTGGTCTGGCAGGTTCCAGGGGGTAGGCTGTGTGGGGAGGGGCTGTGCGGTTAGGGAAGAAGCTCATCCCAAGCCAGGTGGTCCTGCAGACAGGTGTGCTGACAAGACCCAAGGCTCTGATGGTGGGCAGGTGCAAAGGAGGCCACCTACTCCTGGCTGGAAGAACACCTGCCAGGTATGTGGGAAGGGCCACCTGTTGGTTAAAGGGCACAGAGTACATTCACCAGGCAGGAGAAGTTGAAGTTGGTGGTGGTGCTGGCTCGGCAGGGCACTGAGCAGCCTGTTACCCATCCAATCCACCCCACCTCCCACCCCTTCCCTGCGCCCAGTGCCCAGATTTTATGTGTGTGTACATCCATACATACATATGTGTATGTATGCATATATGTGTATAGTGTGTGGCGTGTGTGTTTGTGTGGTGTGTGTGTATGTTCACAGACAAGAAAGCAACAGAAAAAATGCTACCAGACTTGTCACTCCTCTCTCCCTCTCAGAGCAGGTCTCAGACCTGACCCCTTCCAGGTAGAGTCCCACAAGGACACAGTGATGATAGTGGGCTCCCCCCACACACCCACACTCAGTTTCTAGGCTGCAGGTTGCCCAAGCACAGTCCTTCTGTCCACAGCTTGGGAAGCATCTGCCTGTCTCCTGCCCTCCAGCCTCCCCCCATTTTTATGCTGATCGCCCCTGCTCTGGTTTCATTTTCCGAGTCTGTGGGTCTCCCCCTTGCTTCACTTCTTCCTCTTCCCTCCCAGACAGGTCAGGCCATGTTGTCTCCACCCCAGCGCCCACCCCCAAGCCCTAGTCCAGTAAACTGTTCTGAGAACTAACCTGAAACTTCTTCCGGGTGACATTAATTCCCCGAGTGACTGGCAGATGTAGAGTCAGCACTGAAGGAGGCCAACACCCTGGCTTGAGGTCACTTTCCCTTGCGAGTAAGGACCTTCTCTGGGCCAGCTCTGGTTGCTGCACACAGACAAGCACCTAGTAGTCTGGAGGCGCATAGAACAGTGGGTGGGTCTTGAGAGGGGGGCCTTTGACAGGAGAACCACAGCGCAGTGCACCCCAAAGGGGGCCTCCGCCTGGCTGCCCCCTAGTCGCAGCAAGGACCGCAGAGAGAACTCCCTCTCAGGCAAATTCACCGCCCCTTCCTTCAGAGAAACCCCAAGAAGAGGCTGACTGTGAGCAGGAGGGGCAGGCTGGGACTCATCACCGTCTGTCAGTTTGGAAGTTACGATTTCGGAGGTGGGAGAGTTATCCTTCCACAGGGCCAGGCGGCACACAGCTGAGTGAGCGTGAGATGGACTCCCAGATGGGGTGAAGCTGTGAGCCTGGCACCCCTCATTCGAGACAGCCAAGGACCTGGGTCTTCAGCAAAGTGGCTCACCCCACAGGAACTGCTAGGGGTCATCTAACTTAAGACTCCTGCACAACTGCAGTTAACATAAGCTGCCTTCAATGGAAGCAGGAGGTGGTAGTTTTCTGTCCCACTCCAGGCACCCTGAAGGAGACCTTGGGTTGAGGAGGATGCTCAGCTTCTGTCCCCAAGGGACACCCATCTTTATTAAACAATTCAGAAGAGACAGAAAGATGAGAAACCCACCCTGGAAGCATCGATGCAGTGTTAGAGCAGGCTGGGAGGGCTGTGCAGCCTGGACAGGAGAAGGCTGATGTGTGGAGAGGCCAAGCAGAGCTACGACAGGGAGCAGCCCTCAGGCTGCTCAGAGGCTCTCATTTTATAATTTTTTTAAAAAGATTTATTTACGGGCCCTCCCTGTTGGCGCAGCGGGTTAAAGCACTGCACTGAGAAACTAAAGCCACCTCCGCATGAGTTCGATTCCCGCCTGCCCCGGAGGCGACCACATGGCGCGGCAGACCTCTCCTGACCCGCCCGCTGCTCCCCTCAGCAGTGTACTTCGTCGATCTGCCTGTTCTGCTCCCCGCTCTGTCTCTGGTGAATCCTCTCACCTTCCACATCTCTGGCCTATACCCCAGTTCTGTACGAATAAATAAATAAATCTTTAAAAAAAAAAAAAAGATTTATTTACTTATGCATACAGACTGGGGTACAAACCAGAGGTGCAGGGGCAGTGAGAGGATTCACCAGAGACAGAGTGGGGAGCAGAACAGGCAGACTGATGAAGTACACTGCTGAGGGGAGCAGCGGGCGGGCCAGGAGAGGTCTGCCGCGCCATGTGGGTCCCCTATGGGTCTGGGGATTGAACACCCACTGAAGCGGCTGTGGCCAGCTTGCAGGGCTGTGCCCTTACCTATTGCACCACCAGGGAGGACCCGACTGATTTTAAAGCCTAATAAGCAAGGACAAAGAGCGCAGCTTGGTCTGTTGCACAGCCCTTTCACAAACCTCGGTTCTCCCTCCCACGCTCCTGCATGGATGCACCCGCACAGTGACACCCAAGTGTGTGAGCTTAGTGTGACGTCCATGGAACAAGGCAGTCACTGGGTTTTAAAAAACCAGTGTGAGCCAGAAACTGACTGTGGTGCTGGAGGCCACAGGGTGGTGGCAGTTTTACCTCAGTGGTTGTCACTCCACCTCCCACACCCTGTGACGCGCTCTGTCCTTCTCCACCTGGTGACAGAGCTCTGACGGGCCTGGCCTCTCCCCTGCTGGACACAGGGTTTTGTGAGACGCCCCCACCAGGGATGTGTGCTCAGAGCAGCACATCCTGCATCTCCCCCAAACTTGGATGACTCCCCAGGTCTCTGCTTGACTCCTAGTCACATCTAGGAGTGGTCTGGTCTGAGGCCATGATGGCCACTTTCATCCCATGTCTGACAGGCAGACACCACAAAGAGCTGCCCCACCTCAGAGCTGCAGACCCAGGTCTGGAACTGAGGATCCAAATGTCAGGGGCTTTCCCATTGTCTGTCCCTTAAGGGCCCAAGGACTCTGGCTTCCACTCACTGAAGGGGTGGGATCAGAAGGGGCGTTCAGGAAGGGAGTGATATTTGTGCAGCTGTGCCAGACTCCTCTGACCTGGGTCCCAGGGTGCTGCCCTGGACACCAGCCTGAGCACATCCAGACTGGGACAGAAGCCGTGGTGGTGGATCGCTGCACTTCGGTGGTCCTGTCTCTTATCTTAGGCAGGCTCATCATTCACGAGGTGACGTTTGTGAAGTGCCTGACCCTGGATGCCTGTTCAGGCTACTCAGGGTTGGATACTGCTCCTCCTTCGCTAAGACACTAGACAGATGCCTTATATATGCTGCTGATCTTTCCATTTCCATCTGGAAAATGGTCCCAGGGCAAGACAGGGAAGGGACAGCAGAGGGGCTGGCTGAGCCCTCTGTGGCATCCAGCCCTGCATTCCCAGTCCTGGGCTGCTTGCTCGCTCTGGAGGTAAATGGGCCCCCTGGAAGGGGAAAATGAGCAGGCAGTGGGAAGGGAACCCTTTCTGACTCTTCTTCTCTTTTTTCTAGGACTTTCAAAACTCGTGAAGATGTGTGACCAACCAAAATGCAACCCTTGCTGCCCAGCAAAGTGCAACCCTTGCTGCCCAGGGAAATGTAACCCTTGCTGCCCAGGGAAATGCAACCCTTGCTGCCCAGGGAAATGCAACCCTTGCTGCCAGAAGAAGCCCTCCTGCTGCCCACAAAAGCCCCCGTGCTGCGTTCAGACCAAGTGCTGCTGTTTGGAGCCCAAGCCTGAGTGCACTTCTCTTAACAAGGACTCTGAGTCTGAGACATCACAGGCTCAGGACAAGGGTTCCCAAACCCAAAATACAAAGAAGAAAACTGGCAAGTAAATTGTCCTCAGCAAGTACAGGAGTCATGCCCATCACAGGTGAGGCCAGGCCAGACCTAATGGAGAAAAGCTGCTTCTCACGAAGCGCCATTCACACCCAGCCGGGAGCCCCCATTTCCCTTCTTAGCCCCCAACCCTAAGAAGTGCTCCAACTGGAAATGGAAGATTGGAGAGGCAGGAATCATCTTTCCTAGTGATCCTAACACTAAGTAGCACAAAAATAAAAGAGCAGTAAAAAAGAACTGGCCTCCCTATGTTCCTTACCACTTGAAATCATCTCCCCTGGGTGTGATGTCTAGGACAGGTTCTCTATGGGTTATGGAAGCTGAAGAGCATGGAATAGAGTTGGAAAGTTCAGGAACTTTATGAGCCGGAGTTAGGGTGACTGGTTCATCCTGTATGTAAAACAAAGGTGCCTTCCAGGCACCCCTTCAGTCTCAGGCAAATTGAGGGAAGAGGGTCACCCTCAGTGTGAGATCCCATGTTGCCAGGCCCCTGGGCCCAATTTGAGACCCTTCCCCATCCTGGGGATCACAATGGAGGATAGCTTCTAGGCGATCCCACAGTACCAGCAGCAGCATCTCTGACTTCAGGGCCTGTTCTTTAGGCCTAAAGCGAATAGTTCACCTCTCTCAGGCTCCATTTTCTCATCTGTGAATGGAGAATAATGGTACTTAAAGGGTTTAAACAGCATGAACTGACAGTTCATTTAAAAGTGCCTGAGCAGGGCCTCACACAGAGTGGCTATAAATCACACAGTCCTCAGACTTCTCTTCCTGTCATCATGTCCCTATTTCCCACCAAAGTAACCACCATGGTCCGATACCAGGTCCCCCGAATACACCTCTATTAATCTATGGCAGATAGAAATAGAGACACAGCCTCCTTGTACTTGGAAACTTCCAGTGGCTCTGCTTTGTTGGTACATAACTGACCTGGCCATCACCTCTAAGATTTTCCTAATGCCCTTTTGAATTTCCTCACAATTCTTCCTGCTCACCAAACCCCCCAAAACATCGTGTTGTCACCAGATCCATGAGCATTCCAGTTGTTGCACATCTTTGCCAACTTTTTGTGTGTGCTGTTTTGTTTTGTTTTGAATTTCTGTACACTGAAATAGATACCTAGTATTTCACTGTGACTTCAAATCGAGCTCACCTAGTTTTGGTCCCTATACATTCATTTGACTTTCAAGAATTTATATAAGTGAAATCATCCGACGTGTATTCATTCATCCCTGGCTTCTTTAACTCAACAAAAACACTTTGAGATGCCTCAAGCTGTTGTGCATATTGATAGTTCATTCTGTTTTATTGCTGACTGGTAAAAAACTCAATGTAAGGATAATACCACATTTTGTCTATCCATTAATCTGTTGATGAACATTTGAGTTGCTTCCAGGTTTTGACTATTACAAACAAATCCACCATGAACAATTCTTTCAATGGCCATAGGCTTTCATGTCTCTTAGGTAAAGGATTTAAAGTATAGGCTATTGTATGGTAGGTATGGTAGGTGCAGAGCTCACTCTTGAAGAAACTGCCCAATTTTTTCCCAAGGTGATTTTGCCCTTTGGCTTTGCCACCAGAAGACCGTGAGAATTCTAGTTACCACACACTTTGCCAACTGTGGGTGTGCCGTTTTCTCTATTTTTATACATTCTAATAGGTATATTTCTTTGTGACTTCAATTTGCATTTCCATAATAAACAGATTGAACACCTTTCTGTGTTTTCAACAGTCTCCATGAATCTTTTTTGGCGAGTTACCTATTCAAGTATCAAAAAGGGTTTTGCATATATATACCCCAACCTGTGGCTTATCTTTTCATTCTCTTAAATGGTTTCTTCAAAGAGCAGAAGTTCATATTTTTTTATAAAATCTAATCAGCATTTTTAGAGATCTTGCTATTTTTTACAGATCATATCTAGGAATGTTTGTTTAATCTCAGGATGCTAAAACTTCCTCCTTTGCTTGCTTCTGTAAGTTAATGTTTGTATGTGGTGAAAGGTATGGAGAAAGGGTTTTTGTTTTGTAAGGGGATGATGATAGCATGGAGGGGAGTGTTGCTGTATCCAATTATCTGGCTATCCTTTCCTTACTAAATTGCTTTGCTTTGCACTTTTACTATAAATCCACAGCCCACATTTGTTTGGATTTGGTTCTGAATTCTTACATTGCTTTATTGATCCATTTGTCTATGCTGACGCTATCATTTATTGTAGCTTTGTCAGTCTTGAAATTAGTTCCTCCGTTTTGTTTTATAAAGAATTTAAATTTAGTTATTCTAGGCATTGTGCACCTTCACAGGAATTTTAGACCAAACTTACCAATTTCTACAAATAAAAAAAAAAGGCCTACTGAGAATTTGATCGGAATTAAATGTATAGATTAAAAGTGGAGAGGAATAGTATTAAGTCCTTCAATTTATAAGCATGGACTATTTTCCATTTAGTTAGAATATCTTTAGCTTTGTTGGAGTTTTGTAGCTTTCAGTGAAAAAATTCTACATACATTTTCCCTTAGCCTTTCTTATAATTTGAAGATAATTTAAACAGTACTTTTATTTCTGTTTTTGGTTAGTCACTGTTAATATTAAATTACAATTATTTTTGTATAGTAATCTCGTATACAACTTACTAGTTTTAATGGCTTCATATAAAAGGATTTTTACCTGTATAACTAGATCATCAGAGCAAAACAAAACTTTAGCTATTTCCTTTCCAATCTGGATGTCTTTTGTCTCTTTTATTCTGCCACTTGAAAATGTTCCTTTTCTTTCTACTTTCTTAATAGCTTTCAACCAAAAATAGCATTTTTAATGCAATTTTTTCGTCTATTAAAATGATCACTTTTCTCGATGTGTTATATTTACTATTGATTTCTGAGGTCTTAAACAACCTTGCATTCCTGTGATAAATCCTATTTGATAAGATCATTTAATTTTTATATGTTCTTCGATGATATTTGTTAAAATTCTGTCAAGAGATTTGCTGCTATGTTGGGGAGGGGTTTTTGTCTCCTCTGTTGTTGTTTTCTTCTTGTTATGTCTTTGTCTGGTTTTGGTATCATGATAATGCTGACCTTATAAACAATGTACTTCCATTTCTGTCTTCTGACTTTTGTGCTACTATTATAATCATTTAAGTGCCAGAAAACTCAGGTTAGGAAAGTGGTTATTGGAGAGACTTGAATGTGTCTTTAGGATTCCAGTGCAGCGAGCTTCTTACTCCCGCTCTGACACCCAACAAAATCTTAACTGCTGTGTGCTTGGTTAAGTGCTGGGTGAAGTAGTTGAGTTGCATTTAGGAATCATGGACTTAGTTTTTTTAGTTGTTTTACTGTTAGAGTTATTGAGGTAACATAGCTTTACAACATTGCCTATGTTTTGGGAGTGCAGCTTTACACCTATACAAATGAATGTTATCACACCATGTCATCACCAAAGCCCCACTAACCCCCACCACTGTCCACTGGCTCCCCCCGCGAAGCTCCCCCAACTCTCTCCTTCCAGTAGTCTTAGTTCCAAAGTCATGCTTCAAGGGTTTGCTTTTGTCTGTTCCTTGACTTTGTTTTTTTTCATATTTCACATGAGTTAAATCATCCAGTGTTTGTCTTCCGCCTTCTGACTTTATTGCCTTTAGCATAATCCCTTCTCCATCCCACGCTGTATTTTGAAATTGATCCCATGCAGCACTTTCAGAGATCCTCAGACTCTGCAAAGCCCAGGAAATGGCTGGTTCAATGATCTGGCTGGGCTCCCAGAACCTCAGCCAGACTGAGCATCCCTCCTTCGCTGGGATGAAGCGACACTGCACACCCACCGTACACACACTCCCGGCTTTGGCTTGGCCTCACCGGCAATCAGCTTTGTCTGCTGCTTGGAGTCACTAAGAGGCAGGGGAAGATGATGACTAATTCCTGCTGTTGCCAGGGAGTGGAGGAGTGAAACTCCAAGCACAGAAAACTACCAACAAAGTGTGAGGGCAAGAGGAAAAACGGGGCCCTGACTTTGCTTCTGTTAATTTGGAGGTGATCATCTGGAGGAAGGGACGCTCACAAAGTCACATGATCACCACTGTCAGAAAAGGGATGAGTACTGAAGGGGATGAAACTTTGGAATATCGTGGTCGCCATCCTCTCCCTCACACAAAATTCCCTGTTCGATCAGCTGCAACCCCCTCCCCTCCCCCTAGCGAGGGTGTAGAGCTGGGACTTCAAAACAAAAAGCATTAGATTTTTGCGATTTGTGGCAAATATCTAAAAACAGTACCTTCCCGAGACAGACAACAATAAATCTCAAGAGTGGGGAGCAGAGAAGTACCTACATTGCCTGAGGTTAAGCTGAGATTGACGGTATTTATTGGGACCTGAATGCCTGTTTTTTTCCTGACATCTCGGGTGCTCCTCTCCACAAACCCTGCCCTCCTGTGATCTTCCCTCTGCCCGCCATGACTTCACAGTAAAAGAAGGGGAGCATCGTGAACAGAGTTAGAAGCTATGGGAAAGGTGTTACTACTGGCTATTTCCCTATGAAGAGGCTGCCTTTCACTACAACACTTTTGGAATGCTTCCCACCTCACTATTGAAGTCACTCTGATCTGGCTTCCCCTCCTGATGACCTTTGTCAAGGTGGCCGATGGCCCTCGTGTTGCCCCACCCCATGGGCATTCCCAGCCCTCATCTTTAGAGCATTTGCCCCTGTCAGCCGATCACCCACTTGTCTTCCAGGGCCCCTCATTCTCCTGAAGTGCCTCCTACCTCACTGCCTCTCCTTGTCCTTCTCTCTATTATTTCCCACTTTTCTTGGCATGCTCCTCCTCATCTGACCATTTAGCACTGAATATTTGGGTCATTCAGTGGATCATCCAGAGCCTCTTCTCCTTTCTGCCCATGTTCATTCCCTTAATGATCTCATTCTGTCTCGTCACTTCCAAGGCCATTTAAACACCAATGATTACCAAAGTCATAATTGTAACGAACCTTCTTCTGAGCTCAGGAT